ACGACGCTGGCGTCAGAGGCGCGGGAGGGCCGGTGGAAGAGAGGCGCCGGCGCCGGCGGCTGTGGGTGAGCGAATGAGTCCTTCGGACGACGGTGACCTCCGGTACCTCGCATTTTTCTCTCTCTCTCTCTCCCTCTCTCTCTCCCCCTCTCTTTCTCTCTCCCTTCACTGTCACTTTCTCTCTCTTCTTTCTCTTTTTCTCAAACTCGCAACGGAAGATTTGATCCGATTTGATTTTGGGAGGATGGCTTGTAGGTTTTTGAATTTTGATTGGAGGGGTTTTCCGGAGGATGGATTTTCCCGCTGCTTTTTGGTTTTTTCCTTTTTCTTTTGTGTTTTTTTTTTTTTTTTTTTGGCTGAAAGCTACTTTTGCTTTTGGGGCGGATGTATGATGTATCGGTGGAGATGCCTGGTACGACTTATGATATTGGTAAAGTCGGAAAGTGAATCGTGGCCGTTGAAAAAAAATGTTAATATACGGGAAGGTGGGCATGATTATAGTCAATTATTTCGTGGGACTTTTCAAGCAAAAAAATATATATATTAAGAGAATTTCATATTAGTATTTTGTGTTTTAGCTTTTAATATTTTGTATTTTTAATCATTTTAAATTGGTATTTTAATGTTTTAAGAAATCATTTTTAGTATGTTGAGACGCTTTTTTCAAATGTAAAATGCCATTCCTACCATCTTCATTAACTATCTAAAAATTAAATTTCTAAAACATATTCTAAAAAAATACTAAAAATATGTTATAAATAAAAAATATATCATTTACCCTCTTGATCTGCCGAGCCCGGCCCCATCATGCAACGCATCCCCAACGAGCCCAAGAAAGGTGACAGTATTTAATCTCAAGGGAGAAATTGAAAAGCAACGAAAAAAGGAAATGATGCTGCAATTGAAGAGGAGCAAAAAATTGAGTTATGGCATGAGTTGTGTTTGTAAGTGAAAAATATTATAGTAAAAAAATTAAATTTAAATTTTTATAAGAGAAAATATTATAACAATATAACTTGAGTCATGAAATGAACATACTAATGGTCGTTTAGTTCGTTGATTTGAGTTTTAATTCGAGTTAAAATGTGACTTTATGTAAGAACTTTTTACTGTAGCAAAACTTGAATTCCATACTCGAATCAGTAAAATGAACCGAGCCTAAGTATTTGAGTAGAAAGATGTAGGAATAGAGTGAAAATTGCAACTTGGTATTTTATTTCATTGGACTGTTGGAATATTTTTAGTTTTTCAAAAGAAATTCTCAACATCCGTCATCTGTTGATAATAATACTAAACATTGAAAAAAAAAAAAAAAAAAAAAAAACTTACCCGCACTAATAATTCATCAAATTAAAATTAGATAAGTTTAGAGGTGTAAGTTATAAGTTTGAGCCGCCCGGCCTGGACCTGATAGCCTAAAAGGAAATTTTGGGCCGGGCCGGCCAGCCCTAAAAGACAAAAAGTCAGCCCAACTCAAAATTTTATAAGGTATTTTCAAATATACATTTAAAATATGATGTGTGGGCCGGGTTGGAAGAAAAAAGGTCGGCGTAATCCGACCTTAAGCATAAAAAAATTTAGAAGAAAGAAAGAATTTAGCCTTAAAAACGCACAAGTCTAGACATTTACCTAGGACCGGCAATATGGGTCACGACACGACAACACGACTCGAAAACGACACGAATTTCGCGGGTTAGGGTTGAGAAAAAAGAGGTTCGAGTCAGAATTGGGTCGACCTGAAATTGATACGAAAAATATAAGTCAATTTCGGGTTGGACCCGTCTAACCCGAACACGACACGAAACTCGTAAAAAACTAAAAAATACATATATTTTTCATTACATATTTTTTATTTTATTATGAACTTGTGTTATCATGATAGTTATACTCAAAATTTATACTATTATTTGCTTAATTTCAATGGATGTTATTATATTTCAATGTGTTATGAATTTTAAGTTATTTCTAATAATTAAAAAACTAAATAAAAGTATACAATTTTCGTGTCAATTTCGGGTTCACGAGTCAATTTCGTGTCACGGATCATTTTCGTGTCGTGTCGTGTCGTGTCAACTTGTAGAGTGGTCGTGTCGTGTTCGTGTTGCGGTTTTTAAAAATTTTCGTGTCACAGGTCATGTTCGGGTTAACTGCAAATTAAAAAAAAATGATTAAAACACGACACATGACACGAATTGTCACCCTTACATTTACCCCTTACTCTTGATACATACCATTTTATTAGTGTAATTATTTCACTTAAAAAGTTATGAATTAAGAGAAAATATAAATATCCTGACAGATACATTTTTAAAGGATATATGTCAAGATTACTCAAAAATTTAGGGCCGGACTGAACCAGACCCGACCCGAGCTAACAGTAGCTAACTTCGGGCCGGCCCGTTTAGCCCGGCCCAAACTTACAACTCTAGATAAGTTCAACGTTGAGCTAAACAATTTAGGACTCGTTCATTTCACCGATTCGAGTTTTCGGTTTTAGATTTCTACAGTAAAAAGCTCTCAAAAAATGTCACATCTAACTTTTTCTGTTACAGTGAAAAGTTTTCATAAAATATCACATCTCAACTCGAATTAAAAACTCGAATCTGTAAAGTGAACGAGCCCTTATTGCGCAGCAACTTTACAATAAAACTGAAGTTTAAAAGAAAATATATGCAAAGCTTAAAAAACATATATTACAAAAAATATATAATAATATAAAAAAACAACTATGTAAAGCTGTATATACTTATGAAAAAAAAAAAAAAAAAACTCGTAAAAGACGCCAATATTTGCCGGGTTGCCTATTGTGGTAGATGCCATCTCATGAAAACGTGGAGAACATAGATACTTGGCATTACCAAACATACGCCTTTTCATAAGATATCTTTGTTTTACGATCATATCATCACAAGACATTATAAGATTCCAATATTACTTTATTCTGCTGCAGCACTACATGATATGCCACATTAAGGCCGGCAATATGGGTCACGATACGACGACACGATTCGAAAACGACACGAATTTTGCGGGTTAGGGTTGAGAAAAAAGAGGTTCGGGTCAGAATTGAGTCGACCTGAAATTGACACGAAAAATACGGGTCAATTTCGGGTTGGAGCCGCCTAACCCGAACACGACACGAAACTCGTAAAAAACTAAAAAATACATATATTTTTCATTTCATATTTTAAATTTTATTATGAACTTGTGATATCATGATAGTTATACTCAAAATCTTATACTATTATTTGCTTAATTTCAATGGATGTTATTGTAATTTAGTGTGTTATGAATTTTAAGTTATTTCTAATATGTAAAAAACTAAATAAAAGTATACAATTTTCGTGTCAATTTCGGGTTCACGGGTCAATTTCGTGTCACGGGTCATTTTCGGGTCGTGTTATGTCAGCTCGTAAAGTGTTCGTGTCGTTTTCGTGTTGCGGTTTTTAAAAAATTTCGTGTCACGGGTCATGTTCGGGTTGACTGAAAATTTTAAAAAAACGATCAAAACACGACACGAACACGACACGTGACACGAATTGCCACCCCTATGCCACATACATCACAGTAAGGACATGTATGCATCTAATTGAAATCACACTTCTTCATCCAACTGAAATCAACACTGTTGCCATATACAAAAATTTAAGTGGACCAACAAAAAGAACATACTTTTCATGAACAGTAGAAAACATATTGGCACTTCCTTTTTTTTTTTTTTTTTTGGTTTCCCTTTACAAGATGTAAAATGCATTGGTGTCCCTAAGTTCTTTGCATCAGAAACTACCTACTTGGGCTGCCAGGAACCTTTGTAAGCATCTGATACAGCCGTAACAGTCTCGGAAAGATCGTTCTTCATTTCCATAAGCTTCGACTGCACGTACTCTTTGTATTTTGAGACTGAATCAACTAAAGCAATGAATTGTTGAGCACACAGCTGAATTTCCGTTTCATTTTGTTTAATTGCTTCCTGCAACTTCAATTCAGACGCCTACAAGAAAAATACAAGCTCATCACACCACTTGACACTAGATGAAATGGGTTTCAGGTTGATCTTATATGGCATGAGGAAACAAGGGAATAAACCATGTACACAGTGGAATAGTAAAAAAACATAATAGCTAACAAAAGGATGTGACATATTAAAATAAAACATGTAAACGCCGCCATAGTGATAGAATCCATGAAAGAATGCGACGAATTGGCAGTAGAATTCATTGGAAAAGTGAAAGATTATAGAGAAATTTGCTTTAGCATTTCAACTCAGATAATAAGTGCTCAACCCTATGGAGAGATTCATCAATTCTCTCCAACCATTTCCTCAGAAATGGGGCATAGTGATGTTCAAACAATACGAAGCACAATCCTCAAGCTCAAACTCAAAAAGGGAGTCTCTAGAACCCGTGGCCATGTCCCCCACAGAGAGAGAGAGAGAGAGAGAGAAACAAAAAGCTCAATACTTTTAAATTGTATTGACTATGATATCTAAATTATTGGGTAGAGTCTTGTGAAGCTCTATTACTTTTGGTTTCTTTTCTTTCCTGACGAGCCTTGAATAAATAAGCAACTTATCTATGTTACTATTTATAGCATCTCTTTTGCCCACAAAATTGAATCCAATCCAACATCCTATCTGACATTCGGAAGCTATATCAAAAGCTTTATGCTAAGTTCGCTTCCTCACATAACTAAGTTCAACCCACCAACATTTTTGACCATTCAAAGCTATATCAAACGCTGAAATTTAAAGTTTGATTGATATCGCTGTTAATGTTTCGAGCAACTACTTTTTTACTCAAATAATAACTTTTGTTCAACCCACCAACATTTTTGACATTCCAAAGCTATATTAGAAACTTAAGTTTGAAGCTTTTTCATTTTTTTTTTTTTTCAGATGACAACTTACCTTCTTAATGTCTGCTGCATCTCTTTCCACAATATCCAAGTTATGAGCATCCACCTCTAACTCCTCCACCATCCTTTTTGCATCTGCTGCACATTTAGAGGTGTACGCCTGTGTTTCCTTCCTCAACAAATGCAGTTTGGTTTCCACCTGGCATACATGTCATTTATGCCAAAAAAGTAGGAACAGGTAAGGTGTTACCCAATAAAAATCCATGTCATCAGTACAGAAAGCAAGGTATTGGTAAGAGAAAAACACCAAAACACAACAAACACAAGTAAGCTATTAGTGGTACAGCGAGATAACAATAATAGCAAATTTTAGTATCAAAAGGGAACTTGCGATTGTTGTGATCATATTGTATTGCATCTATTGGTGCACTTACTTCATTGATACGGGATTCGAGTCTTGCCAGATGATTTCTTTTTCCCTCGACCTTATTAGCAATATCATTTGATTCTTGCTGAAGCGGGATAAATTCCTCCAATTTTGCCATAGAATTTTTCTTTAAATCCTCAGCAAAGGAAGCAAGTGGAGCCTTTAAAGTTGATTTGTAGTCAATCCCCATTACCTCAGCAGGTGTTGAGCCTTTGGCATTCAAGGCATACTGAAAGCCATCACCAAATTTCAACCTAGTACCAGAAAAACAAGAGCAGATGCTCAAGATAAGCGTTACATATAGTAAGAGTAAGAATCACATAACATATTACATTCTGTAATTAGCCGAACTTCAAAGAAATACCAAACTGTTTTTTTTTTTTTTTTTTTTACCTTTTCAAAAAAAGAAAAAGTTTAGTCTTTGGTAAGGTTTCTAAAATTTCTTAAGTAAGAAATTTAAAAATAAATAAAGTCCCTTGATTAAAAACACCAATAAATCAAATCGACAAATCCTAGAAATTAAGCCATACTCGAATGTAGTAAAATCTTCAATGTAGTAACCAATTAGATCAATTTCTCGCCATAAGTAACAGAGAAAATAATGTCATCAAATAATCAATCAAAGGGCAACAATAAAGCTGTACAAAACGACAAATAACAAAAGTTTTGAGATTATCTTATTAGTTGGTGTTTTATTAGTGTTATTTGATAATTTTTTATTTCATGTTTCTAAAAAGTTTCTTAGTTTTGAGACTATCGAATGAATTAAACAGACTATTGATAGTCTTCGGGTTTTATCAGCATTGTGAAATTCAGTAACAATTACTACTACTCAATTCATTCCTCGTAAAACAATTTATCTAAAACTATGCAGAGCGACTCAAGAACACAGCACATTGCATACAAAATTTGCAAAGGAAGAAAAGGGGTTAAACCTTCTCATCCCCTGGTTGCATTCCATGGCAAGAGCCTCGATCTCCTTCAACTTTTGCCCGAGCGTGGCGTCGAGGTCCCAAGACTGCTCCTCCCACAAGTTCCTCGCCATTTCCGCGTCGCCAATATCCCGCTCCACGGCCTGAAGCTCCCTCCTCATCCTCTCCACATCCCTCGACTTCACCGTCTGCGTTTCCACCCTCTTCCTCAGCTCCTCGTTCTCCTTGCAAACCCGATCCTTCTCCGCCACTTTCTCCTCCAACGCCTTCTCCCTCCTCTCCAAATCCCTCTCCAATTCCGCAATCTTCTCCCTAAGCTTCTCGATCATCTCATTAAACTTCACCACGTCCTCCTCCAAAATCCCCTTCTCCTTCTCCAGCGGCTTCTTCTTCGATGGCTCCGACTGCATTGCCTTAATCCGCGACCCAATTTCCACCGCCTGGCTCTCCAAATCCACAACCACCGCGGCCGCATTCTCCCGCTCCCTCTCCAGCTTCTCCATCCACTCCCCGGCGGGCCTCTCGCCCCTGGCCGCGGCCAGCTAGAGAGAGAGTAGGAATGTAGAGGGTTATCGTCGGCAAACGACGTCGTAGAGGAAGAAATGTTGTCGTAGTACATGGCGGCCTGGACGAGCCAGTGGATGATGGCTAGAAAAGTGGGCCACTGGTGTGGGGTCCCAGGCGATCGGAGAATGGATTTGTTGAGCTTGAAAGGATAATTTAGTATCTTGAGAAGGAGAGGAAGGTCTTCATCGACCTTGGTGGTGGGGAAATCAAGGCGGGACATGAGGAAGGAGAGGGTTTGGGTGATGTCTTTGGCGGTGGGGAAAGGGAGGTGGAGGGAGATGGAGGTGTGGGAGGAGAGATAGGCGTCGATGGTGGCGACAGCAGAGACTTGGTAGCGGTGGTCTTTGTAGAGGTCAAAAGTGGCCGCGGCGGCGGAGGCGCGGCTGAGACCGACGGAGGAAGGGCGGCTGCTGACGACGCTGGCGTCAGAGTCGCGGGAGGGCCGGAGGAAGAGAGGCGCCGGCGCCGGCGGCTGTGGGTGAGCGAATGAGTCCTTCGGACGACGGTGACCTCCGGTACCTCGCATTTCTCTCTCTCTCTTCACTGTCACTTTCTCTCTCTCTTCATTAGTTATCTAGAAATTAAAAGAGTTATTGTGTTATAACTTGAGTTAAAGTTATAATTTATATTTAGATGTGTATATGCCTTATTTATTTTGTTGATTCGAGTTTTACTACAGTAAAAAGTTCTTATAAATAATCATATCTAACTTTTTTGTTACAGTAAAAAGTTATGATTTGAATTTAAAATCTTTTTGAGTTTGTGTTTGAATAGGTCAAAACTTAAATTTATATTTATATAATATTTTAATAAAAACTCGATAGTAATGAAAAATTTTAATAAGGTGTATGAGTGAAATTTTATTCGTCTTTTCATTGTGAATGCATATAAAAAAATCATCAGAATTAAAACAAAAAAATTATAACATTTTTAAGAATAGAAAAATAATGTTTATCAATTTAAGTTCGAGTTTCTGAACTCGAGTTTAGCTCCAAACTCGAGTTTAAACTCAAATTTTATAAAAGAACATGAACTTAAATAAAGTTATAACTCGAGTTTAAACTTTTTCTGAATTTTCTTGTAAAAGAACAAAAAATTCTAAAACATATTGTAAAAAAATACTAAAAATATAAATAAATAAAAAAATATCATTTCTACCCTCTTGATCTGCCGAGTCTAACCCGATCACGCGACGCATCCCCGACGAACCCAAATATGTCGTCACTGATCCCACCCGTGCGATGCATCTCCGGCAGGCACAGATCTGTTGTCATCAACCCCACCCGCAAGACCCACCTCTGGCAAGCCAAGATTTTTGGCACGGACCCCACCCACGCATAGATTTTTTTATTGCTATATGAATTTGTGGTTATAATTTTTTAAGGTCCGTTTAGTTCGTTAATTTAAAATTTTAATTTAAATTGATATATGACTATATGTGAGAGATTTTTACTGTAATAAAAAAATTAAATATAATTATTTTTGAAAAATTTTTTCTGTAATTAAACTCAAATTTTAAACTCAAATCAGTAAAATGAATAAGGTCTTGATTTGTTGAGGTGCTTTTGTTGTTGCAGAGCTTAGGAAGATGAATGTGGGTTTTATTTAATTTTAGTTGAAGGATTTTTTTTTCCCTCATAATGTATTTTGTTTGATTTTGATTTGTGTTTTGTTTAATTTTGGTTGAAGGTTTTTTTTTTCCTCCTCCGGGCTCCGATTGTGTTTTGGTTTTAGTTTGTGTTTTGTTGATTTTCTTCCTCAACAAAACTTGGGCCACGTTCTTTACACAAGTGAGTCTTTCTCGAGTATTTGGGTGCAAATGAACACCCCACGGTCCTCAAATCTGGAAAATTTTTTCTTAGATCTGAAAATTTTTTAGTTTGTCATGGAGAGTTTAGAGAGGATTTTTTATTTTAAGTTTTTTTTTAATTTTTAAATGTTTAATAATATTTTCTAACTTTTTTAATTTTTGTTTGATTAATGATAATGGTATATTTGACCTTCTACGTCAGAAAAGAGTCTTTAGGTACCAAAAAACTATTTCTTAAAACGTTCGGCTACTAATTTAAAATTATTAAAAATACATTATATTAAAAGATAATTTTACTATAACATAAGGTACTAATATAAAATTTTCTCCATATATTTTGTGGGAATTTTTCTAGTAGTCATTGCAAATGTAACTATCTATAGTCTCTTACTTTTCGGTCATCAGATCTATATCAAAATCTATTTATTATGCATATATTTTTAACCTGATGCGCTTTTGATTAGATATAACAATCTAAAATTGAGAATACCGATAGGGCGGACTACTAAAAAAACTCTCTTATTTTTGTATGTGTTTTTGTCCTTTTAAAACCTTTTTAGCCGTTGACTAATCTGGAATTCAATATCAGATTGTAAGTCTTTTAAATTTTGGGAATTAATGAGATGGTTCTAAAGAAATTAATGCCCCATTTGTTTCATATATGTATTCAAACTCAAATAATTAAGGAGTTGTTCTTTTGCAACGAAACTCAAAAAAAGTTTGAACTCGAGTTGAACTTTATTTAAGTTCATATTCTTTTATAAAATTTGAGTTTGAACTCGAGTTTGGGGCTCAACTCGAGTTCAAGTTTCCCCTTCTACTCGAGTTTATAAACTCAAACTTAAGTTAATAAATAATATTTTTTCTATTCTTAAAAATGTCATAACTTTTTTCGTTTTAATTCTGATTGAGATGATTTGTTTCTATGCATTCACAATGAAAAGACGAATAAAATCTCACCCATATACCATATTAAAATTTTTCATCACCATTGAGTTTTTAGTAAAATATTATCTAAATACAAATTTAAATTTTGACTCACCTAAGTACAAACTCAAAAAGATTCTCAATTCAAATCATAACTCAAATGTGCACATCTAAATACAAACTCAAGTTATAACTTCAACTAAGTTATAACTCAAACTCAACTTAAGATCATCACTCAAGTCACCCTAACTCAAAAATGTAAAAGAACAACCCCTAATTCTGTTATAGTGTTTTCCTCTTACAAAAAATTTGAATTTCAAACGCAGAATTAAGAATTCTTATTTGAGTATACCTTTTAAACGGACCTTAAAATTTTCTTAGGATCCATTTGGTTCATGAGTTCAAACCATTGTTCATAATTGTAGCGTTTGAAATTCAAATTTTTATAAGAGAAAAACACTATAACAAAACTAAAAATCATGTTTGAACCATGCATAAAACAAACGCACCCTTATTGTCTAACTTTCAAAAACTAATAACATAGTTGCATAATTTTTTTGCATTGTTGTATCCACTCCTAAACCTCCGCCTTACACGCACTTTGCTAAGTCCAAAGTTAGATTGCAGGTATTTTACTTACATCATGAATAAATTAGTAAGCCAAAACTCAATGAGTACAAATATCCTCATAAAACATCTACATACAAATCACATGGAAATAATGCATGACTTTTTATGCTCAATTATGGAATCTCAAATTATGATTTTGGACTCTGTACACGTACCAAGTGTGCGCAACCAGTTGAGTATTAAGAGAGCTATCCAAATATTTAGTCCGATAACACCCAAGGCCAATTTAATTATTAATTTTATCTCGCTCATGGAATCTCATTATCTCCTTCATAGAATCTCATTATCTCTCTCGTGAAGTGATACAATGCTTAACTAGTCGTCATTACCTCATCCTCTTATTAAGGTGAACATGTAATTATGATAATACCACATGAGTATATTATTTAAATATTTAAAAAAGGCATCAACATCATACTCATTATTCATGTCACAAAGGTATAATATCATAAAATACTTTAAAGGACATGCTTCACATCATACTCATATCACATCAAAGAGCAGACAATTTCTCAAGCATATCTTTTAAAACTATTCATGTTATATGTGAGGCTTGTACTCGCCTAGATGTTTGCAATTAACGTTTAATTGCAGCAAACCATGCTCTTCACATTGTTGATTATGTGTTCAAATTATAACGACAATCACTATCAATTCACTTCCAAATTTATACTTTAATTTTACTTAAGTTTTATGAATTGTGTCTTATCCACATTCCAGGATTAAATAAACTTGATTACTTTTGCATGCTCTAAGTTTAGAAACATTCTTAATTAATTCTTCCAATTAACTAGTTAATTTATCATCAGCTTTATTAACCAAAGGGTTAATTATTCTCATTTTTTAAATCGTCTCAATTTCTAACTTTAATTAATTAATTAAAATAATGAATCTCGGAGTTTACTTTAATTAATTAATAATTAATTATATATGTTAATTATTCACTTGTACATCTCCTTTAATTAATTTCCGTAAACATTTTATCTTCAATTCTTATAACTTTATCAACCTCATGACTTACTTAGTCTCCTGCCTAGGCTCCTTAACTTTCTAAAAGTTGGGTTGAATGGCCTAAGTCCCAGGTCTTGCTTTGTTACTAAGAAAGTTACCGTCGGTAAGCCTAAGGATTCACCTATCCTTAACTCAGGTTCTTGGGTCCATTTAGTCTCTAAGATAATTGAGTTGGATTGGGGTTTTCTGACATCAGTTGGCAATTTTACCCTAGAAAAACTTACCATTTTACCCCTAGATGGTCTTGACAATTCTACGTTCATAAACCTAAGGCATTTGTTACCCTACACATCTTGCCCTTCATGACCGTGAGCTAAATTCAGAGCTCGATGTCCGTTTTGACTATTTTATTCTTAGCGGTCAAAACGATCGTTTTGCCCTTAACGGTTTTCTAAACAACTAATGGGTTCCAATCTTGGTTCCCTAGATCTGTGACTACCTAAATAAGGTTCTGAACTCCTATTAACATGTTGATCCACAACCTTTTCAAAAATTACGATGTTACCCCTAACGATGAAAAATTTGACTTATTTGCTCCCAGGATCAGTTTTTGACATTTCTCCGCAAAATAACTCACCTTAACACAAGGAACAAAACTCATTCTGAACTAAGGCTAATTCTAAATATATGTACCATTTTACCCTCGATCAAAGTTTGATTAACTCATCTTTCAGATATGATAACATTTTATCGGAATAGAATCTATAAAAACACAAAACATGAATAGCGTGTTTGGTATCAGTTTCGTTTTCATTTCTCACGTTTTTTGAGATAAAAAAGCTGAGATTGGGGAGGAAAACGCGTTTGGAGGAAAACATGTGAAGAAAATGAAAACAAAAACGGGTTTCGATTTAGTGTAAAATGACTTAAAAACTGAAAACAAATTTAAATCGTTTTTTTTTTTTTTTTTTATGCCTTTTCTTTAGGCAAGTGGGGTGCTTTTAAAGTTATCAAAAAATTTAAACGTTTTTTTTTTTTTTTTTTTTATGCCTTTTCTTTAGGCAAGTGGGGTGCTTTTAAAGTTATCACCTAGCTGGCTTCCTCTAATATATTATATTGACGACTGTAGACTTGAAGAAAATTAAAAATAAAAATTATATAACCAAACAGAGTTTTATTTTTTTATTATACTAAAAATAATCTCTCAA